CCAAAATCCACGGTAATAATGATAATCGAAATTTGAGTACAGGGCCCGAGTTCTCACGTCGGCCAATTTACACGAGGACGAAAAGGGGAGAAAAAAGCCCAGCACGACATCGGCGTATCGTTACGACATGGTAGATCGGTATCTCAGGATGAAGGCGTGAAGATTGGTTGATCCTGAGAGCGGTGAAACAAATGGGCGGAAGAAAAGCAAAGAGACGAGAGTAAGAACAGCGAAATCACAGCGTTACCGTCGAAGAAGAAAGAGAGAGAGGTGTGTCGGATCTTCGTGAATTCTAATCATCGAGGGTGGTATTTTCAGCACGATACCACGGGACGGATTTATTTACGCGTCGAGTTTACGGAATAAATTCAACACACGCCATTAAACACAGATTCTAATTATAATTAGTTCAAAGCCGCGCGATTTTAATCCGACAAAGATCCGATTATAATAACTATAATGTATTCGTAGAGGAATTTATAATGTCCAAAAAATTATATAACAAAGTTATGATTCAGCGCTATATGTCTCCACTTTTATGATTAATTACTTATTCAGTGTAATACACATTTTAATATTTTATTGGTTTTTAATATTACTTTGTTTTCGTTATTGTAAATAAATAATTACATTTTACTAAATTATGTGATACATATTATCTAACGATGATTGAGAATTAAGAACTGGTTTAAGATATTATACATTTTTATCAATTGTATACATTTAATGTATACAATTGATAAAAACAGTTTTGTTAAATCATGAATTTTTTAAATATAAAACAACTTTTTAACGAAGCGGATTGTATAAACTTTGTTTCGTTTACAAATGTTGACTGTTTAAATATAGCCCTAAACTTTTTGGACGCCTTCTTTAATTAAGATTAATAATAATTATAAAGAAACGAATAAAAACGTAAATTTGTGATAGTAAACGTCATGACGTGAAAGAGTAGAGCTGTTTCTCATTCTTTTGACGGTCGCGACGACATTTTAATTTCATGGAACGTTAAATGTATTCTTGAAGACGAAAAGAGAGAGAAAGTAAAAATGAAGAAAGTCTACAATGAGGAAAGAAAAAAAGAGAGCAGAACACCGGGTCTCGGAAGTACACGTGTGTGGTATATGTGTGTATGTTCTCTGATTATAATATAAAATCCACGGTTAATTCGAAAAATTCGCAGCTTAAATTTTATATAAGAGACTTAACTAGCTTTTGCGTAGCGCAAAAAATTTTTTTTACATTTTCACGTAAAGCGAATCTAGCTTTGACTACGAATTTTTTTTATCATAATACATAACGAATATTTAATAACATTAACTCACGATAAGAAGATTGTTGTCGGCAAATTAATTTTATAAAATTATTTGATAAGGGATGGAATAACATGTTCATGCCTTTTAACTAAAATCAAGTGAAATCAAATACAAATCGAAGTACTCGACGTCACTTCGCGATATCCCAATCAAACTTGGAGCTTCCTTTGAATTATTCATATTATAATCTAACTGAAATATTGGAAATACGTCATTGTGAAGTTGCCTGACTGGACAATGTACAGACTACCATAAGTCTTGAAGAGATACGTTTCCACGTTTCAAATATTCTGTATTCAGTTATTTAAATAAAATCGAGCAATTAAAAGTATAGCTAAAAATGTGTATATATGTGTTACAAAATTTATATAATTAACTACTAATTGAGCAGACAATTTTTTGTAAAAATTTAAGCTAGAAAGAAGAATAAATCATTTAATCATCTCGTTATAGAATAGCAGATGAATATCGAATGTTTAATATTTAATAGTAAGAGCCTCTCGAAGAATCTCGAGAAAGTTTCATGAAACCCTTAGCGAAATATCGCATAAAATTTTTCACGAGCAACCCTTATTAATAAAAAATCGCGAATTTAAGAAAAAACGATTCGCATCTCGCACACAGTTGCGGTCAAATTAATTCCGCGTTCACACGTGCCACACGTAAATTTGTCCAAACGTGGTTAAACGCACACGTATTGTCGATATAATGCCCTTCTATAAAACGTAAACGTATCGAAAAAGGCATAAAATCCCGTGAGAAAAAGGGGGAGAAAAAAAAGAGCCGAACACTCCGGCGGCCGCTCGCGCGTAAATCGAGTTACCGCGCGCTTTATTTCGTTTTGCAACTCGCGGCAAGTTGGAATTATCGTTATTTGCAGCTCGCGGTCATGAATTTAGAAGCAGCCTGTATATGCACGCGCACGACGATAATTCGCAATTGCAAATAACGTTGACCCCACGTCTTACGTATCCTACCGCAAAGGTTATAACCTTACGCAACCGACGCGACGTGTCCATTTTCTTTTTCGCATAAAAAAGAAAATTATATTACGCTTGAATAAAATTTTATATTAAGAGTTTAGTAGTATTTTATATATTTTTTTTATATTTCTATAAGGATAAAAAATTGTTTACTTGTATTTATTCTGTATTGACAATTTTAGAAACCTTTATTTAAGATCAGCAATATAATTAAATATGGCAGAGTATTTTTTTTCCAAATATAAATTTTTGATTTAAATACTGGCAGAATTCACTAGCATGCAAAATTTAAAATAAAATTGGTTATTTGCAGTTAATGCATCTCTCTAAAAGCAGAGTCGATTTAATCAATACGTCCACTCGCTTTGCGTATGCGTAACGGCGCGACAGCCAAGACAGGTGCGCCGATTTTTCAGTTTGCTTTACTGTTTAGCATCGCACAAATAACAGGCGGACTCCGCACTTACTCTTCATACGTTGTGGGATTTATATTGCACCACAAGCCCAACCCTTTCACGACTCTTCGCCGCTTCATAACATTCTCTTTCAGAAAATTTTACAACTGCCTGCTCTTTTATACATACATATATGTACGATTCACACATTGCGTATCCTCGTAGCATGTAGCGCGTGAAATTAAAAAAGATCCTTTCTTCTCATGCCTCACGCAATATGTGTATTTGGTACGTTAATCAAAACGCGTCATAATCTATTTTTAATCATACAGAGATAATAAAGATCTCCTTTAAGGCAAAATTGTTCTCCAGAATGAAAGAAAAGACATTGTTTTTTGCGAACTTTAAAATAAAGTTTTGCTAACGAAAACGCGTTAATAATCTTCGAGCTATAAACTGAATAATCTGAAGGATTTTTCGTCAATTAATTTTAGAAACAAAAATAACGGAATATTATTCAATTTAAAATAGATTTTATCTTTAAAAAATTGAATTGGAGAGAGAGAGAGAGAGAGAGAGAGAGAGAGAGAGAGATTATAGTATCAAATATTAGACTTCCAAAAGTTAAACAAATATGTATAACGATGTTTTTAATATTCTTTTTCCATCAATTCCAAATTAAAAAATTGATTTAAAACTAACTTAAAATTTCGTCATGGATAATGCTGCGTTTATCTTCTATGAATTCTGGGAAGTTGTGTATATAATATCTTTTGTTACAAATATGATAAGCAGCTTATTCAAAGAATGAATCAGCATATTGTACGACTAATACTCTCGTACTTGAGTTCTAACCCGCACCAGATATCGTGAAATACTCACTGCACAAATGCAGCGATATTTTATCTCTCTATATCATCCCGAATATTTTGGGCTTGTCTGTGATCGAGGTCGAGTACTCTTTTCTTCAAGTGCTTCGCTCTCGAAGATACGTTTATTCGATACCAGTTCCGAGAAATTTCAGGAAAATGCCGACGTTTAGGCGCAAATCAACGAACACTGACAGAGGAAGTATCCAAAAAAAAAGATCTGACTGAGATTACCAACACATGATATTTGTCATATGTGGCATATTTTTCTACGAGAAGCTAGAAATTAAATAAATTAAATAAATTCTATTTCTTAAATGTTGTTAAAATTAATCGAAAAATAAAAGTAATAGTAGGCATTAATGTATATCTTGTGGAAACAAATTAATCATATATCAGTATAATAAATCGATTGAATCGATATGCGAAGCCTTCCCTGAAATTTCAATACGAGTATCTAATTTGATAAATGCGCACATTTATGTATCTGTTCATTCTGTAGTGCAACATACACATTGCACTAATTAATATATGAAATCTCCTGTAGAGTTATCGAAGAATACCGAATTCTAATACTAAATATATAAAATGCAGAATTAACATGTAAAAAATGAATCTAATTTGATTAAAATCAAAATATGTTATTAATTGCATTTAATATTTGTTGTTGGCAATATATAATATATTTCATATATCATTATTAAAATGTTTATTTATATATGCTGACATACTGTTTAACGGAATTACAAATTTTTGAATCAACGTGAGTTATAATATTCACAATGTGTTAATATCTGACATTTCATAGTAAACAATTATGTATGTATTGTATGTGAATCTAGTACCCCTCATTATGAATGAAAGAGAATGTAATTAAATAAATATATAAGATAATTAATGCGTATATAATACTAATATAATATTAAAATAAATATAAAATAAATATAAATTATGTTTTTCGATGATATTGTATTTTTATATAGCATAATATAATCAGTTTTAAATAAAATTTAACACGAAATTTTAAAATTAAATACTACTCTAATTGACAATAATTAATTTTTTTTTTGTTATTATAGTATAAATATTTGAAAAGTATGGGCGATAAATTATTTCAAATGCGATTAAGTTAAATAATTTTCTCCGTGTACCCAGTATCCATGTTGTATAATAATTTCATTACATATTTCGTATAGCTCTTTCTCTCTCTTTCTTTCTAATAAAAAAAAATCAACTAGAAGCAATGTTGTGACATGAAATATCAATTATGATATCAGCAAACTTAAATTGTTTTTAGATTCCTTGGCTTTTTTATGTTTGTCATTAATACGCTTACTACATCTCGATCTCGTTTGAGCAGAAGATATTCAACATCAATTTTTAATAAGAATTTATAATTTGTCGGTCTTCATTCATTAATGCTACGTGTTTTTATAGTTTCCAGCAGACGATGAGCTTGGCTCTGGTGATTACGATCTCAACTTGTTCGATGGTTCTGGCAACGCTGATTTGAATAAGGTAGACATGAGCCCGCCGCAAATTGCGTTCGGGCTTTGCTAAATTGTGACGCTACATTGACACTATATGCACTAACTAATTATCCGTTGCATCACACCGCTAGACCACTAACTCATAAGCGTTGATATGAAGCTTGGGTAATTTACTAACGGAGTTGAAAATCCGCATGGGGAGCACCACCATAAAAATAACCACTATATAAATAAATAGTTTGACTGGGAAGCGATATTTAAAATCTAAACGTGCCTATTAAATTTTTTAATATACGTTATAAAAGAAAAATATAATATTATCTTCTTAATTTTTTACTTAAATAATGCCTTAAGAAAACTGATAAAAGTTATTTAGCTATACGCACTAAAAACTATGATTATCATTGTACAATTACATGGACAGAGCAAAATAATTTAAAAATTATTTATATCGATGAACATACAAGATGTTTCATTTTAAATTGCGGGAAAAAAGAGTATTTCCTACATTAAAGACAGAAAACGAGATATTTTAAAGACAAATACAAATCTTCTTAAAGCATATTATAATTTAATTCTAAAACTTATAATTTTGATTTTTATTCTATAAAATTAATATAACTGTATCATATATCGAGATTCGTAAATATCTATCATTAAATTCAATTATAATTGCATTTAATGATAACTATTTACGAATCTCGATATATAATATAGTTATATTAACTGAATATACTCAATAATTAATTATCTCTCAAACGTATAATATAAAATCATTTATAATTATTATCTATTTCAATATATAGATTATTGATTTTGCAGATTTATCGGCATTATAGTTTATTTTCTTCAAATAACTAATCCTTATAATGGATCAAAGTTTTAACGAGAACTTTCTTAAAAGCTGTCGACCATTAGGAGAAAGTACAGAGGGGAAAGGAGAAAGAGAAACGAGAAATTAGGTTACGCGGATAATCTCGTAAATACTAGGAGGATAATCTCTCTAAAATTCTGTTAGAATTTCGCATTGGCAACTTTGCTTACCCGAAATGTCCTGTCGCCGCTCTATCTTTGCCATCTATCCGCAGTCATTACGAAGTTGGGCGTAATCCGAATGAAATTTCATCATGCTTTAGAAACAGTGAGCATATAAATTATGTCAAGCCGTTGAGTTTACCCTCAAAAGAAACGCACATTAATATATATATATATATATATATATATATATATATCCCAAATATCAGAGTAATATATTTGAAGCATTATAATATAAATAAATAGTTCGATTCATAATTAGAACCGCACATGCGCATTGCATATATTTTTTTCTGTTTTTAATTAAACGGGAGATTAATTTTCGAAGAATGTTTTCGAAAAATCTGTTTTCCATTAAAATTGATTTGTGACTGATTAATTGAACCGATCGCTTTTAAAAACCAATTATTTCTTTTAGATAGTCTATCAATGGCAATTCTAAATCATGCAAAATTGGTTCATGACGTGAATGTAAATGACACATATGCGTGTAAGAAGAAGAATATCTGGTACACTCCTGGGACCAAATCACATGCACAGGTCAACAAGCTAACTTCCGGCAAGCCGCAGCGATGCGTCTAATGCGTCGCATAGAGACGGACTTTGCCTTTTCCCACTAAATTTCGTAATGAATTGACGATCCGTTACGTGTGCGCCATGTGTATCCTGCCTTTCCGGAAGTTAAGGCGAGAGTTTGTGTCCTAACGATCAACGATCTGGTACCGAGCCAATAGTATTTTGATGAACCTATATATCTTCGCCTTCAAATTAGTTCCTGACCCTTTTACCGTTTACTAAAAGTCAATTCCGATTCGCGGATATACTGAAACGTCTTTCCGGCGATTGGAAATACGTTATCAGTATTTTTTTCATTTTGTTCTAGACGCCGCAAAAATTTTTAATACGCTTTCATCGATTTCTCTCTTCTTTCAAACGTCGCAATATTGAATCTATTATTGTCGGCATATAATAAAGTAGTTACATCGATTTAGAATAGGAATCTGTTAATAACGTGCAGTGAATTAGTTTTATTGATTCAGAAACGTATTAGATGGTTAATTTAATCTTCATTTCCGTTCTAATTTTGTCTTATAGAATATCGATTTTTTCTTTATCTCAATTAGTATTTAAAGATTAAAAGTAACTAAAATATATATTCTATTTAGTATTTTAGTGTAAATTTTATTCTATTTCAATATGAATAATAGTTCTCTTGATATGCTCATAATTATTTTGGAATTATTATTCCAAATAATAATAGTTTTAATTATTGCATTTTTAAATAAATTATGCATTTAAATTTTATATACACATAATGTATACATATATATAAAATTTGTGTACTTATTATTCCCACGAATCAGCTATTTTTTAGGCCACTGGACCTACCTTTATTGGTCAACATCATTCTGCTTACATCTAATCAAAGATGTAACTTTGATTCCTCGGAAATATCAATAAATAACTGTTCCCATTTCCGATTAATTATCATCACCGGTACATGAGCGTAATTTTACGCTCGGATACGATTTCTAATAATATATAGGTATATATTTCTTATAATAAAATTTGTAATAGGTTTATAATAAAATAAAATTCATTAAAACATTCATATTATATACATTATTTAATTGATCGATAATTTGGATTTACATCATCAAAGTAAGATATTTTCATATATCACATTATACATAGATGGATAGACTACAAAAAAATTAGGATAATTAACGTTTGTTAAAAGAATAAGTTATTTTTGTATATATATATAACGCAGTTGTTACTATGCATTGATTAAAATAAAAAGCGCGGTTCTTTAAATAAAATAAGTAAAATCTGAATTGAAATTCTTTTTGATATCTTTTTTTAATTTATTTAATTTATTTAATTTATACGTGTAAGTAATATCCTTTAATGTATATTAAAGGCATCTATTAAAAATCCAATCTAAATAAGTTTAATCTAATTTATTCTAGTCTATCCATTTTGAGGCAACAAATCTGTTTACAACCAACAATTTATAGTACAATCTACAACTACGATCTCTAAATCAAGTTACCTCAAAATTAAATAAAAATTTATTTAACTCATTAACACCGATGCACAACAACGGAGTAATTGATGTTGAAGCTACGTTGTCTGTAACATACAAATATAAAATTTTAATTATAGCAGCATTTCAAATTAATTATTATTTAAAAAAATTATTATTGGATGGGCCAAACTTTACATTTGGTGCATAAACAATAATAAACTATATATAAAATATATAATAAAACAATTTTATAAATTAAAAAAAATTTTTTAAGTAGAAACTTTTATAGGGGATTTATATAAATATTTATATAATATCTTTTAAAAATTTATCCTAATATCTCTAAGTTTCCCTTATTTAAATTGTTCAAATAAATGTGACTTAATTAAATATGATTTATAATAATTAATATGTAAACAACGATATATATTCACCTTAGAGTTGCTCCGCTGATGCCCGATGACTCTTCCAGGCCTCCTCCTCCTCTCAAGTTGTCAGAGTCGTCAAAGTTGATAACACGCGCGATACTTTTAACAGCACTCCTGCACTCGTACGTGCGATACTTTTAATTAACGGCATTCCCGCACTTGTACGCACGATACTTTTAACGGCACTCCCAAATTCTACGTTCCCTGTAACATACAAATATAAAAAATCTAAATTATGAGTGTTCAAATAAATTACTGTTTTAAAAAATTATTATTGGATGCAGCAAACTATATAGCCTATGCTACTCAGGAGGTACTCTAAAATTATCCACCAATCAAAGATTTTTTTCAAATCGGTTAAATAGTTTCTGAGATTACCCCGAACAATAAACAAATCTCTTTATATATTAGTATAGATTTAAAAAATAATTATTTTCAATTATTTATGCATTTTATAAATACACTCTCACTGTCTATTAATACTTCATCATATGAATCAAATGTATAGATTAGCGAAAGAGATAGAAATATATGAATTGTGTTACCACTTAATAATCAAAAATCTATTTTGATAAGTAACAACGAATAACAAGTCGACACCACGAATTAATTCTGATTCAATTTTTATTCCGATTGCAAAGCTATATGGATCAAATAATAAACGCATATATTCTTATGATAGCAATCCTGCATTATCACGAATCCTTGGTGAGAGATCCTGCTTTTCGTTCTCTCGCCCGGAAATTCGGACAAAGTTGTGGCGCAAGCTTTTCTTCGCGCGCGAGAAAAAAACGAGAGAAAGAAAGAGAGAACGGAATTTATTTCACCCGTAAAATCCCGCACTTCGCGAAAAGCTTCGGGAATGTGCGGTACGGTATGGTGGCGAAATGCAAAGACGCGGTCGTGCATAGGAGGGTTGATCAGGTGTGTACCGGGTGAACGATTTCGATGGGGACGTGTCTCGTTACCGGTCTACGTGTTACTGCGATCGCACAGCAGGTGTTACGCGTTACCATGTGTATGTGCGTATATGGAGATGCGCGTAATTCCACCATCCTGAACGTACTATATAAAAAAAAAAAACACGAATTAAACATGACGAGCGTTTGCAGCAGAGCCAGCTGAAACTTCATTCGCCGAAACTGAAACCTCGCTCGTATTCCCAGTGTGCACGTTTCCCTCGAATGTATGTAACTTCGTGTATGTGTACGTGTGTATGTATAAGTCAAAATACATAATTATTCAAGCTACGCTGATCGTGCACTATAAATTTCGCGTGGAAGTAGAAAATTGAAATAAAATAAGAATTATTAATTATTATTGTGTGCGGCTGTATAAATAATTGGATATTTGATGGAGTCGAAAAATAGATCAAACGTAAATATAACAACGAACAATTATTATAACATTTCGGAGTGTTTTCTTTATGCAATGCTCCTGCTAAAATAAGGTAATAATGAGATATACTATTTTATATAACCAGCTATTATAATATATTATATAATGTAATTCTTGTTTGTGCATTATTATTATTATTTTATTTTCTAAATTTTCATTGTACAAATTGTAATCGTAAATAACTATATTATGCTCTTAATAATAAATGACATTAATTTAAATGCGACATTATAAATCCACCGCAACCGAATGCAATAAATGCAAGCTATGGATAGTTACATATTGATTCTGAGAGAGAGAGAGAGAGAGAGAGAGAGAGAGAGAGAGAGAAGAGTATTCCTTTTGTTTTATTCGATACGCGTTATTGCAATTGCGCAACAGATGCGACAAATGTATTTTTTTCGTACGCACGCATGTCGGTGACGTTCAAATACGTAGTGTAAGCCAAAGCAAACGTTTAAAAAAAATTTTTACAAAAACCGTGTTTCAAAAAAAATCAAAATCTTTATTGTGACGAGAAATACAATCTGCTATGAGAACTTTTCTTTCATTAAATAATTTCGGAAAAATATTGGGTTGTCGAAAAAAGTATTAGTTTGGAGAAATAATAGATTGAAAAAATATTAAACTCTTTGTGCATTCGTCCTACAACGAGCGATCGGGAATAATTGTTAAAAAAAAAAAAACCGAATCACACGAATTACATTGTAGTTATATATTTTTGAATATAAAATATTTATCGCTCTTTTTTAATAGAGATAAAGATATCGAACAAGTATTGCTTTGATACTTTTATATCTGCATGTAGATTCCAATGCATTCATAAGTTCATTATACATATACATATAGTACATAAAAATTATGTATATGACGCAGATTATAATTAAATTTTATCATTTGTACGATTCACTTTAAATTTTTAAATATTGCGTTTTAGATTTTATAAATAATTAATTATTACATTTTAATGCTTTTACTGTATAACGAATCAATTTGACTTATTCCAATAAGCAAAAACTTATTGGAAAAAATGGTGAAAGCTGTGTGAATGGCACAGAAGGTAAGATATTATAAAATCTCATTAAATATTCAATCTAACGTATAAATGCTCCTAATATTTAAATAATATTTTCTACATTAATATCTTCATATATAAAAAGATATCCAAAAAGATCAAGATCGTTATTTCGATGAATTTGAGCAAATTAACAGATTTCTCGTGCGACGGAAGTGGGATACGATATTTTTTGTAATAATGCAAGAACGTGTTCGATCGGCGAAAAATCCTAACCGGACGTCGACTCAGCCCGATAAAGCGCCGTCGTTACCGATAATTATCGGAAAACACTTAGGGCTGGTGTCATGTGTGCTAACCATACTGCCTGATTGGCTTGGAAGTTCATTAATCACCGTCACTGCTTGATGTATTATTCGCTTTTAACGTACAAGACAGGTCCGGTATCACGTCTGGAGAACTTTACTTGGGCATTGCATTGTTCACAACTGGCGCATGCGATCATTTATACTACTAGCTAATAATTTGCGACGGCAGGCCGTGACAAGATCCGGATCGGGACATGGTGAAACGTGCAGAGAGCAAGATATCTTATATAAGATTGTTTTACTATATATATATTATATAAAGTATAATATCATTAATAATAATATTATACTTAATTTCTCATTGTCAGTCAGGCATTATTATGTGTCTCTTTTATTATCTGTCTTATTTTTTGAATTTCATCTATACATAATTACAAATTTATTTTAGGCCAATCTTGATTCTCGTTTCTTGTCATAACGCTGCAAAAGTTCCCGTTCACATAGTTTCATGAATTTCAATGACGTTATACGAACACTACGCAAATATTTGGCGTCCCTTCGTGAAGCTAATCAAAAACGGTCGACACATTGCCGTGTCACTTCAACATTGCGGTTTACACAATATATATACTTGTAATTTGCATATAAAATAACTAATCAGCAAACGATCGATAAACCAACCGACCTGTTTCGCTATCTTCGTCGCAACCAAATACTGTAAATAATGTCTACGCTGTATTTGTTACTCGCACCCCTTGCATCAAGTCCCGAATTGGCAATCGACGATGACGACTTCGATAATCGTCCTGTTATGTATCGCTGACAGGACAGCATAATCCAATCTTATCGGCATTGCTTATAATATTATTTTCAGATCGGTCGGGATGCGGACGAAGACAAAAGCGAGGAGAGTAACCCACCTCCATTCATCACGCCTCCGCCTCCGAATCCAGATTGTAAGTAAAGCCAAATATTAATCATCAAATATTATATTCTTTAATTATTCGTCAAATATGACATTACATCGTCATGTCTCAGTAATTCATGTTACGTCACCCGTTATAATATTTATATTCTTCTTTTAATTAAAAAATATAAAATAAGTTTTACTATCGATTTTCTTCCAATCGAATATGTTTTTTATTGTTTTTTATCACGGATATTTTTCCAATCTATTGAGAGAATATTCAAACTAACTCGTGAAATATCAATGTATCGTAACGATGTTTTGATGATAATCAAACAGTTCTTCCATTAATCAATGCATCGGAAGAACATCAATATTTCCTCTTTTTTTCTTTAAATCTGATATTTCTAGTAAGGATGAAACGGCGCATTAAAAATCGTTTATTAATTTTGCCATAGCCGATGTCGATGCGTGTCGTCGACTTCGGAGGTATCGCTACGAAGAAACGATGATAAAATATGAAGCAAACTTTTTTAATCTACTTTTCACGCGCATAAATCACCTCGGCGTGTCAAAATAAAGTGACGAAGTTGCGCGGACGTATGGATATATATTTGTTCTTTTTTTTTTCAGATAAAGGTCCGAAAGGCGAAAAAGGCGACAAAGGTGATAAAGGTGAAAGTGTCAGGGGTCCTCCAGGCCCTCCGGGCCCACCTGGTCGCGATGAGGTGAGTGAATTTCTCAATCAAGACTTTATTATAAGCCAATTTTAGTGATTACAGAAAAAAAGATTAATTCTTCTGTAAATTATTTTTTAGTGCTTTTTTCGATAACTCCTAAATCGATATATTTGAATAATTAATAATAATTAAATTGTGGCAATCGCAGTTATAGAATTTATCTGGAATTCTGGAATTATCCGTTTATAAATTCATCTAACAATAAGTGGATCCACATTTCAAATAGAATAAAAAAGATGTAATAAATAGTTTATAGTAAAAAAGATATACATATATAAATGTCATTGATATAAGAATAAAATATAAATTATATTTTATCTTATTTCAAATTTTATATATGTACGAACTAGCTTAATAGATTGTATTTTATTTCATTGCATTCTTCGTCTATATAGCGATATTGATTTCTTTAAAAATTTTCTTAATGGAGGAAACATCTGGTTTTCTAATATAGTGATAGACATATCTCGTTAAATTAACTGTAGGGACCGCGATTGCATTTGCAACTATCCAAGCGCCATGATATTGAAGGTAGCTTGTGAATATATGCGCCTGAATCCGGGATCACTCATTTATCTTGTTATTCACATGAGTCAATTTAGCATCGACGCTAGAGAACCGGTGCCTGTCGCATGTAACACTGATTATAACCAAAACCGCTTCCACGGTATTTACTATCTTCCGCCGTTATTTTAGTATGCAATATAAACACAGTATATATTTACTCGCTTCTAGACACCATTAAAATTTGATTATATCGCTGTATAAAGAAATGAATGACAAGTTGCGTAAAAATTAAACTGAAAAAAAGAGCAAAAAATATAAAATTAATAATCCAGCTTCTCGTTTTATTATTTGAATGGTTTTAGCGGCAGAATTATTATATAAAAGATATATTATTATTTAATAATTCAATTATATTATTTTGTGTTATGAAAAATATATTAGTATTATTATTCATATTATTATAATACACAAAAATAGTTTATTTTATAACATTTTTCGTAATACTCATAAATATATAATAATTATATATACATATAATAATATATAATATATATAATAATAAATGCTAATATAATTGATTCACTAAAGTAAAATTATAGATTATAATAGAAGTATTAAATAAACCGATTTTTTTCAGGATTTGCTAATGAGGACACCGCAGGGACCACCTGGTCAAAAAGGAGACCCTGGCACGTGCATCTGTAATGCTACGGCCTTAATGTCTTCCTTTACGATGCCGAAGATGATACAAGGGCCGAAGGGTGAACCAGGCGTACCGGGACAGGAGGGAAAGCAAGGTTTAATGGGTCTCACGGTAGCGATTTTGTTCTATATATAATATATTCCAAGATATTATCAAAACGCTAGAAAATGATATAACCACTTATGTCTTGTTGTTTTGCTACGGCAAAACAAATGTATTACGGTATCTCTACATCATATATATATATAAAAAAATAAATGTTTACAGAATAATAAATGCTTGAATAATGCAACGGTATTGCTAATATTACAAGATTTTATTATATAAACCATTTATTATATCCGACTTCAAGATTTTCTCCAATTTTTTCCTTTCTATCTCTTCACGTGTCAAATTTAATCATTTTGATCGAAAACTATATCAATCTCTGGCGCTTCAAATTTTTATGGATATAACATCGTTTTGCTGAATTGCAAAGTTTAACGTCACGATTTCAGGGTGTGGCAGGACAGCCAGGAGAAAGAGGGCTGCAAGGCCCGACTGGGGCGAAAGGTGACAAGGGTAATATTGGAATACCGGGACCGGAAGGTCCCCAAGGTCAAAAGGGCGAGCCAGGTCGCGATGGAATTTCCGGTGAAAAAGGCGCACAAGGTCCACCGGGACCGCCTGGAAAGGGAGAATTCTCTAGCTATGACGTAAGTAGACCACGTCTGAATATGACCTGTCATGCCAAGGCCGAAAGCCGAGTTAAAATATTTTCCCCGATGCTTCTTTCGCGGCTTGCGCTCGCCATTTCTGCTTACCTCACGAGATTTTCTTTATGCCCATTATTTCTGGCGACAAGTTGCAATCTGCATAAAACTTTCGTCGAGATTTTCTTTTTTATTATTTGCTTTTTACTACCATTAACTCGCCAATGACCACGCGAGCTATTGTAATGAAAATGAGGGCGTAACGTGATAATGATTATTTATGAGAATTTTTTCTCTTTATGATTTGTGAGATTTATGTCTTTTTAACAATATATCTAGAGTTGACATAATGTTAAATAATTTCTATTAACTGTAGAACGATATAATCACATTTAGCGCAACGGAACAAATGTCACATTTAATATAAAATTAAATGATTATAAAATTAAAAACTTTATAAATTCCATTATATTGTTTAATGAGATAAGCAGCAGGGATAATAAAAGCAAACTGAATGTTCGGTTAAATGGTGGTTTCTGCTAAATATAGCAGCGGGAAGGAAATGAAAATGGGAAGAGTGGAGGGTGATGCGATAAAATGTTAACACGAGGGATATGACATTGAGAAATTTTCGCTAGAGAAGAACATTTATTGTGTACGCGATTACTGCGAAGTAGCGGAAATTCAAGTGCGCCCGACCGTACGAAGTCGTCGCTATAATAAGCAGATAAGTATCTCCATTCAAGAAATTTTCATTATCCGCATATGAATCTGGCTCAGTCGTATTATTCGCTATTTTCCCGAAACGGACAACGCAGCAACGAGAAACTCGGTGGGAAATGGAGACGATATCTTTTCCCGCGGAATCGTCGAGCTTATTATCAAAAGTATGCTATTTCAAGATTGTATTTGGTACCATCCATTGTGCGTGAGCTCAGCAAATTATCCTCATTAATTATTTCTTATTCATATTTGTCGGATTATTACATTGTATATAAAAATTAAATTGAACGAACATTCTTTCAAATATATTTGTGAAAAATACAAGAGAAAACATGCGTGCTAAATTTTGAAGTAATTTTTTTTTTTTTCTAAAAAGAGAAATTGGTTTCGTATGATAAAAATTCGAGTTGTTTATTGGAAAATGATATACAATGCGAGTTTTGAACGTGCGATAAATTTGAATCGAAAAGTGTAATTCCAATGGTAATTATATCGATTTTAGGTATGTGTCATGATGTTTTATCGGACACATCGAATATTTATTGCACTAATCAAGCATAAAGTCCCGATGCTCTCGTAAAAGAATGTGAGTACCCAATTTATGTCCGGTTATCGAGAAAACGGCAATATTATCGCAATATTATCTAACACTATCGCACGCTTCGAAGTGTATGAAAATGTACTGCCCCCTCGTGTAGCCGCTTTTACGTGTACTAGAACGACAACTACCAGCGATCCTACCTCACCATCGTAGGACGACGCGACAAGAAATTCGTTGAATGGAAATGGAACGCATATCGCCCCTCGGGGAGTAAGAAACTGTGCACGTAATAACGGTCGAGTTGTAAGTCCGACCCTCAACCTCCTCCCTTTTCTCGTACACGTACTCTCGTTTCCCAGTGTGCTTTCTCTCTTTTTTTCTCTCTCTTTCTCTACCTTCTCATTCTCGTCGCAGTTTGCCCTGATCCATTCTTAACAACGTGGCAAGTCTCACTCAATTTTTGCCAGCCACGAAAAATGGTTGTGAATCGCGCACTGACAGGCCCACGATATTAAAACGATATACAGCATGCAAGTGCATCTGCATACGCACGATATTGATGGTGGTAAAAATTTTAGCGAGAACTCTCTGTATGAGGGATGCGCTTTGCAGTGGATGCTACACGCCAGCTCGAGAAATTCCTGAATTTTCCGGTTTTTCCAATAAATAAACTCTTCCCGAACCTGCGCAACGGAGCGTAGTTACAACATTTCCGCCCTTCTTCGTAACTACAACACGTTTCAAGGAATACGAAAGAAAAATTCGATTGATAACGAAAAAAAAAGGCATTTTTTATTATCATATACTTGTTATGAATGCAATTAATGTCGTTGAAACAGTAATATAAATATATATCACCTATTAAATGATTTGTATTAAAAAAAAGAGGCAAAATCTTTTTCAAAATTTCTCATCTCCTTACAGACTTTTCCGATGTCCCATTATTTTCAATGTCCCCATTATCTTTCGCGATGTTTCCGATTTTCGTAACAATTCTTTCGGGCAGACACCTATTTCGGGGACGCTCGGAGAGCAGCAGCTATCTCGCGGAACGAGTTAAATCTACTTAAGATTGATATTCCACGCTGTCAAAGTCAGCGGGAAAGTCCAATTCCTGAAACGCGCTTCCGGCCACGGGCGGGAAAAGAAATCTCCGTGCTGTCGTGGGAACGTAACGATCCTGTCGCGCCTCAAACCGTCAATTTACCCCGGAGATGCGGTCGTTTTTCACCTTGTTCTCTTGTTATGCGGCTCTCTCATGGTGGAAAAGCGTGGCGACGCGCGCGAAAATATAGTGGTAGAATGGAGGGCATCGCATCGCCGCGCTTATCGGACTGCATCGCTCCGCTTTATCCACGACACAAACCCGTGTGATGCAGATGCGCCCGCATACCGTTGGAAAAGATCGACGCAATATTTATCCCGCCCTCATACTCGGCTATGAGAAAGATCGTAGAGAGAAAAAAAAAAGAAAGAAAGGAGAGAATGCAAAATGTTCCCTTGCGTTACAGTTTTCTGTTTACGTGCTAGTGACATGTTTTCAAATGTTACACCAGCGAAAAAAAAAAGGTTGACCCAACCCGGTAATTGTTGAGACGCGTCTCGCGACGGAGAAAAAAATCTCGTTACTCTCGAAGCTGAGAGCGCGGAAAGCACCGGAAGCTTCCTGTCGCTACAATCGTAGTGTAAAATGATAGCGGAATTAATACACACTGTAACTATACAATATATTTGCAATTCAGTAAATATAAAAGCAGTAGTCATGCCATCAAGGTTTTTTCAATTAAATTGTATCTTTTTTTTTTTTTTTTTTTTTTTTTGGAGCATCAGTTCGATGTGTCCAATATCATCCATGGCATTTTCAAATTTTATTTTTTTATATTTTTAGAAACACGAAGAATAATATAGATGTGTCGATATGATGCTCCGAAAAACCATTTTATTTAATCGTTTTTGGTTTAAATAAACAGAAATGAATATTGATATTTTAAATACAAAATTATGATGAAGATATTTTAAACACTGTTTATTGTACCTTACTTCTACAAATCTTCCCCTGTATATAATTTCATATAAACTACGTTGTCACCGAACAGAGAGAATGACAACTTCGCGAGTTAGATTGCACTATCTTTTGTACATGCGATATATTTTCGCGCTGCGGCAATATCGGTTATTCAGATACAAACTGTAAAGAAACATACGTCTTTACGAGGCAACGAAACGGTAAGCTTGTAGCTTTTGCTCGGGAGTTGAGGAAAACCACGAGTCGCATGACACATAACGACCTACATCATCGGATATGCGCGTTGTTGCTTGCAGGGCGAATGGGGTTACACGTTGTGACAATAGGGGATGCGCCGCTGTTGTTTAAGGCCCGTTAACGCCAGCTGTACCATTGATAAAGATTCCCAAGAAGCTGTATGGATAGTGTCCAAGTCGTTATAATATTCCGGATTGTCGATTCCAAACGCACCGTTTTGTTAATCTTATTTCGCGATGTCATTAATCCACTCGTCACCGAATGCAAAATAACTAGACATTTCAATATATTCTAAAAGAAAAATAATAATTCGGGATTAACGATTTCGTTATTTTCTTTAAAATATATCGAAATAATGTATCTAATTGTAAGTTACTTTGCATTCGGCGACAAAAATTATTATTGATATTCTGTATAATTCATATCATTATTTAATAAGAGCACAGTTTTATCACAAGAATTATTATCTAACAATCTAGCGTTTTCGAGATTTAAGTTTTTATAATGTCATGAAATTATAAAAATGTCGAGACCATCGATATGTTGTGAAATACCTTACATAACATATTTTTTTCTCAACAAAATATTAAAAAAGATTTTAAATTAAAATTCGATATGTTAGATGTACACATTCCATTTCTGTAGTGTTATTTTTCAGAGATAGATTCTCTCGACTCAAAAAATTTTAAGTCTATTTCTTTTATAAAAATATGGGAAAACCATTGTTTTCAAATAATTTAAAACAAGAAATGAAAATAATGATTTATTAGGAAAATATTTTTGTGGCGTAAATCTAATTATGTCGAATCAGCTATAAAATTATCTAAATCTTCCTAACAACTTGCAAGGTGTGCTTACAAGATCCAATCTGTATTTCTACAAATATTACAGGATTTTAATAATATGCTTAACATATAATAATTATATTAATTATATCTGTATATACCTATATTATACATAATAATTCTAATATTGATTTTATATTATTTTCAAAATTAGCCATTTAAAATCTCTACAATGTCGTCCAACGATATTAAGCAATAAGGAATCAACTTCGTCCAGAAATATCTTAATCGTGTCAAAAACAACAATTTCACGTTGCGTACTCAATAACCGCGCGATCGATCGCGGGGATGGAAAAACAAAAATAGAACGATTTAAAACGCAAACGCGTATTGGCAAAAACAAGGCAAGAAATATTTCACGGTAGGATCAAAGACCAAAAAGTCTGTCGTCGAGACAGTTCATGCAAAGGCAGACACACGCATACTGGCAACGGTTATCTTACGTGACCTCGCCTCGCGCCGGTTCTTCCTCGGATGTTCAAGAGCCCGATTTCCCTGGGGAATACAGAAACCAATTTCTAGGCTGTGCTACTGCATGCACCGGCTAGGTTTGCGCTTTGGTAGGAAGGAAGGAAGGAAGGCTCAGAGATGCGCTCGAGTGTTGCACCCCCAGTATGTCGTAGTTGAAGACGAAGACGCTCTGGTAACGCTCGATCGAGATGCTCGCACGTTTCGATGTGTGTGCATCGAAACGTTCGCGCGCTGATCGGTTTCGCGGCAGATGTTTCTCAGAGAATTTGCCGCGGCCCGGAATTTGAATGAATGGAAACGGAGTAGAAGAGGAAATTCGGGAATCGCATTAAAGCTGGAGAGAACTGCTTTAAAACAGAAGCGGATTTATAGGCACGCATGGTACACGCGGAAGCAGAATTCGATACGAGTGAAGAATGTCATTGAATTCGGGCGAAAAAAGATGTTTTTTTTTTTATGACCTAGTTCTATGTTTTGTGAAAAGACTTTCATAAATTTTACTGCGAACGAGTTCTCTCGCTCTCTTTTTATTAATTCTATGTATAAATTTAAAAAAAAGATTGTGTACTAAATAATACATACGCACGATTAGTATTGAATTAATATTGAATTATGTTGTTGAATTGTGAAACAAACATTGTTAATTAAATTAGTTAATGTTGTTAGTACATAATTTGAGCATTTGTTGAGTGGTACTTCAATTGAAATTGTTTTTGATAATGTCCATTTATTAGAAATTAAGATAATATAATAAAAATAGATTCAACAAATACTTACAAAGATAAAAATCGATGTATACATAAATATCGATGTAGCCAAGTATAGAAGATGGAAGAGAAGCTATACATATATACATATATCGCTATTTTATCAATAGCCGAAGAAGTCTAAAAGTTTCAAACTATTCGCGAGAAGCTTTGAATGGATATGACGAACGATGAAACGGTGGCGTTGATATATAGATATACAAAAATCGCAGTGACATGATTTATAGCGAAATGCTGTACTAATGTGAAAAAGATATTCGCCTTACAGAAAACAGCCGGTATTAAAAGAAAATCTTAGAAGGAATTATTTCCCGAATTAACTTTTTGTTCTATGCAAAGATTTGCACATATCGCAAATTACCGATTAATAATATAATTAATATTTTCTTATTTTTATCAAAATTATTTTAAACGTAAGAAAGTATGAAATAAGAAATCTATAAATATTACAGCACATGTGATTTTGAATTTTTATCACGATTGAATATACAAGATTATTCTCAAATACTTGGCGTATACGTATGTAAGTATTCTAAAAAAAAATTATATTCTCATTATCACGAAATAATTACTCTTTTCTATATACACACAAGCATACTATACATCCTTTAGAAAATCAAAACGTAATTTCAATCAGAGAAAACTTTTTTTTTTTCATTTTTTGCATGTCTGAAAATCAATTTTACATTTGAAAGGATTCAAATCACATAGCGAGCGTAGGAAACTCGTGCATTTAAGAATAAAATTTGCACTTGCGATTCTATCGGCGAGATTCGATTTACGCTAGAGCAATCGTGAATCACGTGCCATTGACGATTGTTCGCGCAACAATCATTCGGTGCTAATCAATGGCAAATGCAAACGCGCAAATGGCAAATGTGTCGGTCCGACCGCGAGGCTCTGAGTCTCGCAACGTTATTCCAACGATCTAATAGCGAAATTTCGATTATTATGCGCATGCAGCCCAGTTGGAAGCCTCGAAATATTTACAGGGTGAGTACGGACTGGAGCATTCCCTGATTGCACCGCGAATATCTTTCCCGATACTCGGAATTTCCCTCTCAAATCATAAGATGTCAAAGTAATATTTATGCGCAACTTCATTAAAATACATTAAATACATTATCATTATTTAACATAACGCGATCGCTTATTTGAATCCTCGTCGGATCTAGACGGAAGGAGGTATCACGATGAGGCCGGGACTCCCAGGACAGAAGGGTGAACCGGGCATCTCAGGAAGCCCCGGCCCTAAAGGCGAAGCTGGAATACCAGGGTCTAAGGGTATCAAGGGTGAACCAGGCCACAAAGGTGCCAAGGGTGATCATGGGAAAGACGGCCCCAGAGGAATTCAAGGTTCTAAGGGTGAACCAGGCGTAGCGGGCGCACCCGGTCTGCCTGGCGCACCCGGTGAAAATGGACGGCCAGCCGAGAAGGGTGATAAGGGCGACACAGGACCCGAAGGAAAATCGGGACCTCCGGGACCACCCGGTCCACCTGGTGCGAGCGGTCCCGGTGGCATAAACGTAGGGGATCTAGGTGAGCAATCTTAAAAACTTTTTCTTAAACATTTCTTTTTCGCGCGCAATAATAAATCCAATTGATATTTTTTATTCTTGCGCGTCCAATTTTTTATGTAATCTTTTATATAAAATGAAATTGCCTGAATTTTTTTATATGATTTATTATATTATTAATTGTCAGCTGCGGTAAAATCAATTTGATATTAGCAAGATACTAAATAAAATTATCTATATAAATAGTACTATAATTTATGTCAAGAAAGCTGCTTTATTTTTGTATTATTTATGTCTTTATTATTTATCTTTAATTTTTTTTTAAAAAGATATACATTTTTAAACTTAGGAAAATATAAGAGTTAAAAACATTTCGATTTTACTTTCTTTTTCAATATATTTTATCTTATATCAGAGACAAGTATATGTGTGTGGTGTATGATTCTCTATCACAGTAGAAAATACCATGTATGTATAAGGATAATAGATTATTATTAGCAATGTTATTTTTATGCTGGAGAAATTCAATATCTATTGTGTCGAGATAAAGGACAACATATAACGTGGAAATGTTATTTAATTAAGGATTTGGCACAAAGGGCGACAAAGGAGATACTGGAGCGCGCGGGTATAAGGGTGATAAGGGCACGAAGGGCGAGAAAGGCGATAAGGGTGATGCCGGTCCAGCTGGTATTCCCGGAATAAATGGTATTCAAGGACCTCAAGGAGATAAAGGCGAACCTGGTAAGGATGGGATATCAGGATCGGCCGGCATACCTGGTTCTAAGGGCGAGAGAGGCGAAAGAGGTCCTCCTGGAGCTACTACCATTGCCAATTCTGGCGACTATATCACTATCAAAGGCGAGAAAGGTGCCGAAGGAAAACGAGGTAGGAGAGGACGACCTGGACCGCCTGGTCCTGTGGGTCCTCCCGGAAAACCAGGAACTACGGGAGAGATCGGTTTACCAGGATGGATGGTACGCATCTCACAATTTACATTATTTCACATTATATCACAGTAATACTAATTATATAACAATAATTACGTGACAATATTGACGTATGATTATTGATGGTAATTAATATTTGTATAAGATAGCCATTGGTTATAATAATACGCATTCCATACGTATTTCATATTAACAATTGCAAATATCATTCAAATAAATATATGTCATTTATATTGCATTATCCTAAGATTTGAGATATAGTTTATTTCTAATTCTATGCTTTTACTTCTAAATAATGTCTCTTTTTTACAATACTAACCGAAGAATTCGATGAAGGTAAGTCTTAATCAGACTGCATTAAATCATATGTATTTTATACAAAATATCATGGAATATTTTTCTTATAATTCTCGAAATAAGTATTTTTTATATATTATTATATAAAATTATATATATAAAAAATAAATTTAATAATCAAATAATTTTATTAAATGTACATATCAAAAATAAATCGCTAAGCATCCGATCATGATAAAACCGAATCTCCGCACTAATTAAAACCTAAACGAGCGATTCATCTATCACTGTCTTTTGCAGGGTCGTCCTGGGACACCTGGAATTCCTGGAAGTACCGGACCAATGGGACCCAAGGGAGAAAAGGGGGAGGCTGGCACACCGAGTCCTTACGGTGTTTCCGTTGGTGTAAGTAAAACTTCTAGTTTCTCGACGTGGTATCGGTCGTGTAAATTTCTCGCGCACGCTAACTTTACATATAAATCTAAGTGCCCGCTAGTGAAGTGAAAATCAAGAACGAGAAATCAAAACGCTTAGAAATTTAGTTTTCGCACTAGCTCGTCAGTCATTCATCCGCAAACAACGAGAAGTCACTCTTTTGTTTTAAAGAAAAAAAATACAGTGGAAGTGTAAAAATAATTGTTTCGTCTCTTTTTCCCTGTCGCGTAATTTTGATGTAACAAATTAAAGCAAGAAAATATATATTATAAATGATGTAAATTGTAAATGAAACGATACAGAAGTCTTTGAACAACAGACGGCAGAGTGATGGAAATTAATGCAAGAGTGCGTGTGGCGTGCATGCATGTTTTTTCTCGCGTCTTCATCGCTGAATTTATTCGTTGCGCCAAACAGAAATTTTCTCTCCCGCGGCGCGAGTGGAGTTTCGCGAGCTGTCACACCCGACAACTGACAAATAACGCATACTGATACGCACGATATGGCGCCTCGCTTTGCTTGTGAGCCTGTATTTGTGTGCAACCAAATATATCCGAATATAATAATCCTTTTAAATATAAATTTCAACTTCCAGTATTACGAGGCATGTAAAACCGACCAATTACAAAATTGTACAGTTTTTACGGAATGACTAAATGGAATAATAATTTAAAAATAGGTTTTTGGTCGATCTTGTAAAATTCTTTCTCAAAATAGAAATTTTCAGAGGGTATATTTATTAGACAAAAGGCTTCAGATTTAATAATATAAATTTCATATTATAAATAGAAAATGTGAAGCTTTGTTTTCCAAGTACTTTTTTATTTTATTTGGATCATATAGTATATAAATGTATATATATCTATATTTGAAAATTAAAAATTTTATCTATGTTTTTAGTTTTGTGTTAAAAAGTAAGAAGGAAGACGAACTCGTTAAAGAATGTCTAAAATATTTGTTGCTACATCTGAATCATCCTATTTTTATGCAAAATTTTTAACAATGCCATCATTAAGAAATTACACAGATCAGGTGAATGTAATAAAAAGAAATCTTTCTAATAAAAATTCCATAAAATTACTAAGTATAAATAGAAAACAAGAAAAATTGTTCCAGATATCCGTCATTTTTTAAGAGCAATAATGCAACATTGATAACGACAAAGATAGATCATTCTTGGAGAAAGAGCGATCACATGGTCGGGGAACAGAAAATTTCGATATCGTCTTCCCACGATCTAGAGAGGATATAAACCGTCTCAGCATTCGTGAAAAAGAACGCAAGGAAGAAACATTGACAGAAAGCCGACGTGATGCGCCTAAGCGATCGTTGCATCTCATTTTTCTATATTTCCGATAAATCAACCGCTCCTGTACGCCTGACCATATATATATTTTACTACTTACTGACTTTCTACCTATCTAAATCTCGTGTTCTAAATCTCGTGTCTGTCAAAGTGATGAGACATAATAAACTGATAATAGCAACTGTTAAAATATATACGTTTTTACTCAGTTGTTAAAATTATCGTAAATTTATATTTACATATTTAAATATATTTCTTTAGATCAAAGGTGATAAAGGAGACGAAGGTTTTCCCGGGATTCCTGGCCAACCTGGAAGAGAGGGCCAAAGAGGACCTCCAGGACCACCTGGAGTTCCTGGACCACCGTCCCAAGGAAAATACATTCCAGTTCCAGGACCTCCAGGTCCTCCCGGACCCCCTGGTCCGCCTGGATTATCCTTAATCGGACAAAAAGGTGAACCCGGAATCGGTAGAAGCCACGTTTTTGGTGAAAGAGATTATTACGGTTCTAGACAAGGTAAAAATATTTAAAAAACTCGATGAAAATTATTCCTATTCAATAATACAGATGAAAATTTACCTTGATATTACTTTTTAAAAATAATTACAACTAATAATAATTATAATAATTTTAATTAAGACGTCGATTCGAGTTTAATATTCCAAATTAGTAATCGATTTTGTTAATAATAAACCTATTCTTTGTTAAATCATTTTAATGTCATTTCGTCGAGTACGCGCTTTTTATTTTTACTCATAAACATAATTAGACATAATTAAACATATTAAATTTCGTATTCACATACCGCCAGGATCACCCAGAGGTAGTCTGGACGAATTGATAGCTCTACGTGAACTTAAACAATTAAAAGAATTAAAAGAACACTTAGGTAAGTTAATAATATGATATTATGCAACGATACCATTGTTATTTCAAGTGTCTTATAAGGAAGATTAATTTTAATACACATTTTTAATCAACATTTTCTTCAAGGATCTGTCACTACTGCCACAAGGGGGCCTTTAGAAAGTACAACGAAAATTGTGCCAGGAGCTGTTACATTCCAAAACACAGAAGCCATGACAAAAGTAAAGTTTTGAAAATCATCGTTCCTTCACACGAATGTTTAAAATATATGATTTTAACACACTCTTCATTTGTATAATTACAGATGTCTGGTGTCAGTCCAGTTGGAACTCTGGCTTACATCATAGACGAACAAGCTTTGTTAGTCAGAGTTAACAATGGATGGCAATACATAGCGGTCAGTACCAACATTCATTATTATTGCAATTTTAATAATATTTAATGTTATATAATTTTTGGTAAAACTGAATTTTTCTTTTAAATTACCATTCAGCTCGGATCACTTTTACCCATTACAACGCCAGCACCGCCAACCACAGCACCGCCACCAGCAAATCCTCCCTTCGAAGCGTCAAACTTAATTAACCAGATACCTGTGAAGGCTGACGGAACAGGAGTAAGTTAAGAACTTGAGTTCACCTCGCGTAAAAAAATACGTCTATAAAAATTAATCCTATTAATTTCGAAAATAATTCGCTATTTTTCCATGCTGCGCAGTGGTATCCGCGAATGGTGAGATCATATTTAATTAAAATTTTTTCGTCCATTTCCATCCACAATATATAATATTTCGTTTTTTTTTATTTCAAATAATTAAAAAAATCTAAAAGATCTAATAATTTTTTTATTGAAATATTTGTAAAATTTAATCAATGCATCGGATATTGTGATGAAATTCGATTTTGATTGAAAATATTTATTTCATATGAATTATATGTACTTTTTAGTTGAGAATGGCTGCATTGAATGAACCATTCACCGGAGATATGCATGGTATACGAGGAGCAGACTATGCTTGCTATCGACAAGCAAGACGAGCAGGCTTGAGAGGTACATTCCGAGCTTTTCTCAGCTCTCGAGTTCAAAACGTCGATAGTATCGTCAGATTAGGAGATCGAGATCTTCCTATAGTTAATATAAAGGTAATTACTACGGAAATAATATTTATTTATTAGTATGTGTTCTCTATTAAATCGAACATTCTGTGTTAAAAATAATCAAAATTATTTAGGGCGATGTGCTATTCAATTCTTGGAAAGAAATGTTCAACGGAAACGGGGCGTACTTCTCTCAGAATCCCAGAATTTACAGTTTCAACGGGAAGAACATTCTGACTGACTTTGCGTGGTAAATATATACAAGATATATTTTTTTAATTGTGAAGAAATATACTAATTTGTTATATTTATATTAGATGAAAATTATATATAACTTACAAAACGGCAAACTAATTATATGATCGCGTATATTATTTTTCAAAGTTAAGTTTTTTAAGATTAATTATTGCTCAATATATATGCAAGATATATTTTTAATTATAAAGAAATATATTAATTTTTTATATTTATATTAGATGAAAATTATATATAACTTTACGAAACGGCAAACTAATTATATGATCACGTATAATATTATTTATCAAAGCTAAGTTTTTTAAGACTGATTATCGATCGATTTCCCTATTTCAGGCCTGCGAAAGTCGCGTGGCATGGCTCTCACAAACTTGGCGATCGTGCGATGGACACTTATTGCGATGCCTGGCACTCGAGCAGCTCAGATCGCTATGGATTGGGCTCGCCGTTGACCGGTGGCCGGCTGCTGGAGCAAGTGCGATATTCGTGCGACAATAAATTCGCGCTGCTTTGCATCGAGGTGACGAGCGAGTTGGTGAGGAGACGGCGGAGCATCAACAATGAATCGGAAGACGACGTCGAGATGACGGAGAACGACTATATGGAATATCTGGAGGAACTCGCGCAATACTGAACACTATCTTTCTCTCTCTGTCTCTCTCTTTTCCTTTCTCTCTCGATTATCATCGTCGCTCGTAACACGAAAATTAAACCGGCATATCGATATACATATCGCGAAATAATAACGCGCGAACAGCGTCATCGCGCCTCATCTTCAAATTCCAAAGGTATAATTACTTATACTTCCGTCACGAGTAACACTAACCATCCGCTTTTCAAACGCGCGTCTCAGTTCTCTTTCCTCTCAATCTTTCTTAAAGATAAAAAGAAGACTGATCGTCTCTCTAAATACTCATTCGTCAGTGTTTCGTCGTATAGATTGAGTATTCCTATCGGATGCTCAATCTTCTCTCAGTCATTACCGAGAATTTCGATCGTTCGTGAATCTCTTTGTGAGGAGCCATCGCAGTTCAACGTTCGTTAAACGTTTCCCTTCATCAAGATATAAACGTCCAAAAATACTTATAGATCATCACGTGAACGACCTCAGACATACGCGCACACGACTCGATCAGGCCCGCGTTTACGATGCACTTAAGCGTTAAAAGCGGCTGTCTAATTATACCCCTTCTCATTAAACACTACACGCCAATTTTAAATGATTCAAAAGAATTCAGAAAATTCAGGAGAATTTTTACGATCTGATGATCGTATCAATGGCCATATCATTGCAAAGATCGAGAACTTGAATTCAAAACAGTATTAACTTTAGAAGTTAAACATTTTCGGAAAAGAACATTAATTTAGCTAATTCATTTTTTATTTTTTTTTCTACTCCTTTGTGTGTTTGTTATGTAACTTATTCCAAAAAATTCACATATATTTTTCAAAATAAAAAATATTTTTTTAATTCTAATACTTTTGAAAAAATTATAAATTGAAATATAATATAAAACGGAATTCAAAATGTATAATTAAAAATTCATGTTTCTTTTTCATTTTTTATGTGAAAGATAATATATATATAAAATATGTATAAATTTTATATATTATTTTTATATAATATTCTTTCATTTCAAATCGAATAGATTTAATTTTGATTTTTCTAAATGTAATGTAATACGGTTTGGAATTCAAATCTCATTCAAATTGTTCATGTAAATCTCTTGTTACTCTAATACAAAATAACTGACATAATTATACTCGCCGGATTAAAATCCAAACAATCATGTTTGGCACGTGCGCTACGAAATGCAGACTATCATTTATAAAAAAAAAAATACCTAACACTGCTCTAAATAAACCTTAAACGAAGTTCGTACCCGCGCGATCAAGTTGCATTTACATTTTAGCTGATACATATTGAGTGTGTATGTTAGATATAAGAGACACATCAGTTAAGGAGTTTCAAACGACAGTGAGTCGCTGTCGAAGATTTATGCTCCGTGTATTATTAATAAGTCAATAAAGATAAGTTGTTCATTTATCAAATCACTGATCGCTTTCGTAAAATTTTCTACAATCAATTTATTTAAATATAAATCTTTGGAAAAGAACCGTCACAAAAATTTTTGAAAAAAATAGGAATTATTTATTAATGTCAAGAATGAAAAATGGAAAAGTCATGATTTTGTTACAATTCCTTTTCTTGAAATCAATAGTCATACATATATGTGACTTGAGTATTATTTCATTCACAAATATCATGAGAAGAATTGCCTTTCGTCCTTGATATAATTTCGAGTTCCAATTTGATGCGCACATCCCTCATCAGCTAATCCTGAAAGCATATGAACAAATAACCGTTATAGCAAAAATGGATATAGTAATGATTCATATTATATGTTCGCGTACATCATTCCTTTGTCATTATTATTTACAGAGGATTTAAAAATTTCTAGACCGTTACACTGAGCATAAATCGAATCTAAGTCAGTGTCTATAAAGTGGCGGTATACCGTTAACATTAATCTAATTTATTACAATTACGTATGTAGAGATCGATCGTAAAACTATCATATGTATACTTATTAGGTTATCAACATGCTTATCAGCGTATATTTCCTACGTACATACATACGTGAGATTTTTTAAATGTCGTCAGTAGTAATTCGTGGCATCCAGGAACGCGCACACACGAGATTTACTGTCTTACTACATGAATTTATGCACGTATCGGAGAGCGTACATGCATCCGCGCGCGCCTAATTTCATACGTTTAAGGCATGTACGATAATCGATATCTCGTGTATGCAATCGATTGTCCTTCGATATAGTTTGCACTGAAAAGGTTTCGTTTCCAAATTTTATATTATTTGTACACTTTATTATTGTCTTTATAAATAAAAGAGGAAAAGGAGTCCCTAATCGAGTTACGTTTTCCCTTCCTTTGCTTTTTCTTAAATATGCATAACGTGCAAATGTAAAATCAATTCAATTAATAAAAGCACATATTTAGATATGAAAGAGCGATAAAATATTCAAGCTAAAAACAGACCAAGAAATCAGAAAATTAGATACTAATTGATTACAATTTGTTATAATATAAATACATAATAAAATGTTATTTATTATTTGTAATAATAAATATTGCTTTATTAATTTATGTTCAATTTAATACTGTTATATAGATATAGCTATAACTTAATTAACATTCTTCCAATTATTTTAAAACTTAGTACGTTTTTTTCTAACATCTTTACGATTTTATATCTTTTTTCATTTACTACAAAAGAATTAAGTAACGAACGAAAAACATAATACTCGTTGCTTACTGCTATAGTATGTTTATTTTTTGCTGTCAGATACTGTGCAGTTAATAATCTAAATAATAATCTAAATGTAAGTAGAGACAAAATGAGGATTAATTACTGGTTTCATTAAATATTAATCTAAATTAAAATACACATGCATAATACGTCGAATCAATTTTTATTACAAATAGAAAAGTTATCATATTATTCTTATGAATTATAAATTGTTTACGATTGTTACAATTGTACTGTTATTGTAAAATAAATTAATAGAGATCTTTAAGATCTGAGCACCGTTAAAGCTTCGGTATATTTTAAACCTTCTAAAATATAAGCTAAATTCTCGACCGACGCATCTTCATCCTCTTCTGCCCATATTTCGAGCATAGTCTTGCATTGTTCATATGGTGTTGTTTTGCTTTCGAAAAAAGCAATCTAAAACATATCACGTATATTAAAAAATTCCATTATCTCATTATCATTATATTATGTAATCCCATCTAACCCATTAAATCATTTATTTAATCATAATATAAAAAAATTTAATATCTGCGCACCTCATCATTAGTATAACCAAATTTCGTTGCTAACTTTTTCCAATCGTTTTTCAGGCTCTCCGATAATTTGCCTACCATTTCTGGTGTAACTTTATTCAATTTTCTGGCTTTTATGTCGGCGCTTTCAGAATCTTGTTCACTTTCCTGCTTCAAAACATCTTCGTTGAATTCCTGATCGTTAGATTCCGATGGCGGAGTTTCCTCGGTTTCCAATTTTGTGTCAGATTGTGTTTGCTATGAAATATAGTTAGAGCAATCAAGATTAAATATATTTACAGAATAACAATTAATATTGAATACTTACTGGACGATCTTTAGCAATTTTTTTTATCATTGTCTCAAGATATTCAGGCAATTTATTTATAGGATAATTGCCGTGAACAAAGAAATGCGGGCTTCGTCTTGCCAACAATCTTAATGCTCTCCAACCAAAATTACCATCATTTACTTTTCTATAAGATACAAAAATATTAACAATTTAAAGTGAAAACATATATATAATAAAATAAGCAAGCATATATATTATAAATTTACTTGTATTTGTCATCAACCATTGCAGCAGGATCCAATTCCATTATGGCATCTTCAAAATATGTTTCTAAAGACGGGAGGAAATCTCTATCCTTCGATTTGCATGCTTCGAGATTGTTAGGACATAGATTCCACAATTTAGTAAGTTCTGGACTATTAAAAAATAACGTAAGTTTAATTATCTAGTTTTTACTTGTTCGAGAATATTGTAATTATATACTTTAGAAAATTATTTACTTTCCCATGTGATATTTGCCAATCGCTTGAGCATCCCTAATTACATCACCGATTCTTCGTTTCAGTCTCTTCGGTTTCCGTGGTTCTTCGTCGCTGATATCCGACGCCGGTCTCTTGAAAGGCGGACAACCATCATTTTTCCATGCGTTCCAATGCTCCTCACGTTTTAAAATGTTTTTCACGGTTTCCGCAAACGTGGGTCCATCGGGTGGTGTTTCGGACAATAGAGTGTAAACTTGTTCTGTGGTAGTCTTCACCCATTCTACCTGATCTGGTTTGAGCTCATGTATCTCACTTAAAAACGACAAACATCATAATGCTTCGATAACGTACATGTCACGGGACATTTAATTTAAGGAAAGCAGACCTTGTCTCATAGCCACTGGCAAGGAAGCTTTGAAAAACAAACATTGTTTTATGACTATTCAAAGATATTGTAACTAGTGTCGTGTTATCAAGCAATTTATTAATTTAACAAAAGGAGGAAGTTTATGAATTTATTACAAAATATTCATTGCATCAGTGTATAAGATACTTACGACTTGAATTTTACAGTGCTATTCAGATACTGGAAAAGAATGAGAAATTGCAGCAACACGTATCGTCTGAAATTGGAGTCAGACAACTGCAATTCTAGTAATTTCTGATTAGTCAAATATTTTGCAAAGTAGTGGGTTTCCTTGTGTGAGCCTTCCATTGAAGAATCCATTTTTATACATGTCGTAGGATAATTACGCTGCTCCTCCAATTTAAAAGATGCAAATGCTGATAGCACATTAGATGCATGCTTTAAAAAAATGTATATTTTTTAATAAATCATATATAATAAAAATACATATAATTATTTATGTATATAGATGATACAAAACTCACAGCTGAAAAAACTTTCCAATATACTTTACTATAACACTGATTTGGATTCCTGAAGAAATCTTGCAAAGCCCAAAATTTTCTATACAAATTATAATCAATCGGTATTTTATTTTCTGACTTATCCTCATCTTTAGTTATTTGCTCTAGGTCATCCCCTTCCACTTTTTCAGAACCAAATTCTGTATAATTTTCTAGATTAAATTCACTGACAATATTCAAACCCGATCTCTCAGAGACGGGAAAAAATTTTGCAAGAAATAGCAAAATTCTGCCACAAAATACAGTTTGCTGCGATCGTGACAATCTCCTCAACAAATCATTGCACATTCTTAACAGATTGTTCTTGCAGGCAGAGAAAAACAGGTCCTCCTTCCATATGGTAACATTGTTCTCGACAAAAGTGAACAATTGTTCACATCTATCCAGAGTCATCGAATCAAAAATGTCGCCCAATAACATGACTGGCATACTGGCTGTCGCTAGATCTTTCCTGCATAGTTCTATGCTAAAGGTAATATACAATTCCAAAGGACGAACGTTGCCGGATGCATTTTCTGTCAAAATCACCAACAAGGTGTCACGAAGTGCCTGATCGACCGCCGCTTTTCTGTCACCATCGTTTGTGCAACGTTCAATACATTTCTTTTGAAACAATGTGACGTCTGCAGTAAAATATTGCTGCAATAAATCCTAAAAAAATGGAGAATCAAGATATTTTATAAATACAACTTTATAACACTATAAACGAAAGTCTGAAGAATAAGGTTATATGCTTTTTACTTACACTATAATCTTTTCTCAACACTTCGAATGTTGCCATTTTCTATAATTCCACTGCCATAAAGTCTTCTTAAAAATAACTTCTAATTGTTTAAACAATTTTACATTATCACACAATTGACAGTTTTCAGAACCGGTCCTAAAAACAGAAAATTTGTTGCTTCTTTAGAGCTCGAATTAGAGATCAGATTCAATTATATTAAGAGGATGATAAAAGCATCGACGAAATAGTATTAAAGATAGGTAAACTGAGATATACTAAGCAAGATCTTCTGAAGAGATCCGACGAATACGGAAGTTTGACGTAAGCGATTGTTGATTACACAAGCATAAATTTTAAACAATGAAAAAAAAATGTACATATAATTTATAATTTCAGGTAATGAAAAAAAGCTCTCTCCCTTCTGTTTTGCTAATAAAACTTTATTTACAATATATTGTTTATTTTTCTGCAAATTCATGTTTCATGTATAAAAAATATATTGAAAAATATTTAAATAAGAGAATTTTCATAAAATTATTACTTAAAATATTTTAATTAAAATATTAGAGGGCAGCGTTTCATTTATCCTACAGTCCAGCGCCGGTTGACCAATCAGGACGCAGAGACCTTTCACTCCGATTGGCCGATGCAGTTTTGTCCACCTATTAAAGAACGAGAATATGTGAATTCATTTCCGAACACAAACTAAAACTAAAATAATCATCATCAGTCTTATTAAGAATCGTTTATAGATGTGTGAAGTGAATTTCGTTTCGCTTGTAGTCGCACCCTTTAAAAAATACAGCAGTTTAAACAAAACTGTCAGAAATGAATTTTTTCAAATTTTAAGATTTTTAAATTCTGCTTTGCACACCGATGTAACATTCGCAGGCGAATGTCCCGAACCACAAGAAACGATTCTAAACACGACTGAGCATGTATATTTATAATATCTTAAAGCTTGTAACTTTTTAAATTTTTCGCTTCAACATCGAAATCGATCTATCTTCGCTTAAAGACTTTTAACGCACTTGAAAATGTGTTTTTAATATATATTAATGTGAATCTGACACCTGACTATAAGGAATTAATTTTTTTAATACCGAAAATGATAGTACGTCGATCGCTTGCGTCGTAAGTGTAAAAATCAAAAGTTCAAGTTTTTCCCCAAATTAAAAATAACGCAAATCGAAATCAGCAGTCTTATTAAGTATCGTTTATAGATGTGTGAACTGAAATTCGTTTCGCTTTAAATCGCACACTTTATAAATGACAGCAGTTTAAACAAAACTGTCAAAAATGAATTTTTTCAAAATGAAAATAACGCAAATCCAAATCAGTAGTCTTATTAAGAATCATTTATAGATATGTGAACTGAATTTCGTTTCGCTTTAAGTAACACACTTTAAAATATACAGCAGTTTAAACAAAACTGACAAAAATTAATTTTTTCAAATTGAAAATAACGCAAATCCAAATCAGCAGTCTTATTAAAAATCGTTTATAGATGTATGAACTGAATTTCGATTCGCTTTAAGTCGCACACTTTAAAAAATACAGCAATTTAAACAAAACTGTCGAAAATGAATTTTTTTATATTTCAAGATTTTTAAATTCTGCTTTCTACATCGATGTAACATTCGAAGGCGAATGTCCCGAACCACAAGAAACGATTCTAAACACGACTGAGTATGTATATTTCACATATCTTAAAGCTAGTCACTTTTTAAATTTTTCGCTTTTACATCGAAATCGATCTATCTTCGCTTAAAGACATTGAACGCACTTGAAAATGTGTTTTTAATATATATTAATGTGAATCTGAAACCTGACTATAAGGAATTAATTTTTTTAATACCGAAAATAATAGTACGTCGATCGCTCGCGTCGTTAGTGGAAAAATCAAAAGTTCAAGTTTTTCCCCAAATTGAATATAACGCAAATCCAAATCAGCAGTCTTATTAAGAATCGTTTATAAATTTGTGAACTGAATTTCGTTTCGTTTTAAGTTGCACACTTTAAAAAATACAGCAGTTTAAACAAAACTGTCTAAAATAAATTTTTTCAAATTGAAAATAACGCAAATCCAAATCAGCAGTCTTATTAAGAATCGTTTATAGATATGTGAACTGAATTTCGTTTCGCTTTAAGTCGCACACTTTAAAAAATACAGCAGTTTAAACAAAACTGTAAAAAATTAATTTTTTCAAATTGAAAATAACGCAAATCCAAATCAGCAGTCTTATTAAGAATCGTTTATAGATATGTGAACTGAATTTCGTTTCGCTTTAAGTCGCACACTTTAAAAAATACAGCAGTTTAAACATAACTGACAAAAATAAATTTTTTCAAATTGAAAATAACGCAAATCCAAATCAGCAGTCTTATTAAGAATCGTTTATAGATATGTGAACTGAATTTCGTTTCGCTTTAAGTCGCACACTTTAAAAAATACAGCAGTTTAAACAAAACTGACTAAAATAAATTTTTTCAAATTGAAAATAACGCAAATCCAAATCAGCAGTCTTATTAAGAATCGTTTATAGATATGTGAACTGAATTTCGTTTCGCTTTAAGTCGCACACTTTAAAAAATACAGCAGTTTAAACAAAACTGACAAAAAAATTTTTTTCAAATTGAAAATAACGCAAATCCAAATCAGCAGTCTTATTAAGAATCGTTTATAGATATGTGAACTGAATTTCGTTTCGCTTTAAGTCGCACACTTTAAAAAATACAGCAGTTTAAACAAAACTGACAAAAATAAATTTTTTCAAATTGAAAATAACGCAAATCCAAATCAGCAGTCTTATTAAGAATCGTTTATAGATATGTGAACTGAATTTCGTTTCGCTTTAGTCGCACACTTTAAAAAATACAGCAGTTTAAACAAAACTGTCAAAAATGAATTTTTTCAAATTTTAAGATTTATAAATTCTGCTTTGCACACCGATGTAACATTCGCAGGCGAATGTCCCGAACCACAAGAAACGATTCTAAACACGACTGAGCATGTATATTTATAATATCTTAAACCTTGTCACTTTTTAATTTTTCCGCTTCAGCATCGAAATCGATCTATCTTCGCTTAAAGACTTTGAACGAACTTGAAAATGCGTTTAATATATATTAATGTGAATCTGACACCTGACTATAAGGAATTAATTTTTTTAATACCGAAAATGATAGTACGTCGATCGCTCGCGTCGTAAGTGGAAAAATCAAAAGTTCAAGTTTTTTCCCCAAATTGAAAATAACGCAAATCCAAATCAGCAGTCTTATTAAGAATCGTTTATAGATATGTGAACTGAATTTCGTTTCGCTTTAAGTCGCACACTTTAAAAAATACAGCAGTTTAAACAAAACTGTCAAAAATAAATTTTTTCAAATTGAAAATAACGCAAATCCAAATCAGCAGTCTTATTAAGAATCGTTTATAGATATGTGAACTGAATTTCGTTTCGCTTTAAGTCGCACACTTTAAAAATACAGCAGTTTAAACAAAACTGACAAAAATAAATTTTTTCAAATTGAAAATAACGCAAATCCAAATCAGCAGTCTTATTAAGAATCGTTTATAGATATGTGAACTGAATTTCGTTTCGCTTTAAGTCGCACACTTTAAAAAATACAGCAGTTTAAACAAAACTGACAAAAATAAATTTTTTCAAATTGAAAATAACGCAAATCCAAATCAGCAGTCTTATTAAGAATCGTTTATAGATATGTGAACTGAATTTCGTTTCGCTTTAAGTCGCACACTTTAAAAAATACAGCAGTTTAAACAAAACTGTAAAAAATTAATTTTTTCAAATTAAAATAACGCAAATCCAAATCAGCAGTTTTATTAAGAATCGTTTATAGATATGTGAACTGAATTTCGTTTCGCTTTAAGTCGCACACTTTAAAAAATACAGCAGTTTAAACAAAACTGTCAAAATAAATTTTTTCAAATTGAAAATAACGCAAATCCAAATCAGCAGTCTTATTAAGAATCGTTTATAGATATGTGAACTGAATTTCGTTTCGCTTTAAGTCGCACACTTTAAAAAATACAGCAGTTTAAACAAAACTGACAAAAATAAATTTTTTCAAATTGAAAATAACGCAAATCCAAATCAGCAGTCTTATTAAGAATCGTTTATAGATATGTGAACTGAATTTCGTTTCGCTTTAAGTCGCACACTTTAAAAAATACAGCAGTTTAAACAAAACTGACAAAAATAAATTTTTTCAAATTGAAAATAACGCAAATCCAAATCAGCAGTCTTATTAAGAATCGTTTATAGATATGTGAACTGAATTTCGTTTCGCTTTAAGTCGCACACTTTAAAAAATACAGCAGTTTAAACAAAACTGTCAAAAATAAATTTTTTCAAATTGAAAATAACGCAAATCCAAATCAGCAGTCTTATTAAGAATCGTTTATAGATATGTGAACTGAATTTCGTTTCGCTTTAAGTGGCACACTTTAAAAAATACAGCAGTTTAAACAAAACTGTCGAAAATGAATTTTTTCAAATTTCGAGATTTTTAAATTCTGCTTTCTACATCGATGTAACATTCGAAAGCGAATGTCCCGAACCAAAAGAAACGATTCTAAACACGACTGAGCATGTATATTTCACATATCTTAAAGCTTGTCATTTTTTAATTTTTCGCTTGCACATCGAAATCGATCTATCTTCGCTTATAGACTTTGAACGCACTTGAAAATGTGTTTTTAATATATATAAATGTAAATCTGACAGCTGACTATAAGGAATTAATTTTTTTAATACCGAAAATGATAGTTCGTCGATCGCTCGCGTCGTAAGTGGAAAATTAAAAGTTCAAGTTTTTCCCCAATTGAAAATAACGCAAATCAAATCAGCAGTCTTATTAAGAATCGTTTAAAGATGTGTAAAGTGAATTTCGTTTCGCTTGTAATCGCACACTTTAAAAAATACAGCAGTTTAAACAAAACTGTCAAAAATGAATTTTTTCAAATTTCAAAATTTATAAATTCTGCTCTCTACATTAATGTAACAATCGCAGGCGTGTCCCGAATCACAAGAAACGATTCTAAACACGACTGAGCATGTATATTTATAATATCTTAAACCTTGTCACTTTTTAATTTTTCGCTTCAACATCGAAATCGATCTATCTTCGCTTAAAGACTTTGAACGAACTTGAAAATGCGTTTTCAATATATATTAATGTGAATCTGACACCTGACTATAAGGAATTAATTTTTTTAATACCGAAAATGATAGTACGTCGATCGCTCGCGTCGTAAGTGGAAAAATCAAAAGTTCAAGTTTTTCCCCAAATTGAAAATA